GTCCCGGATGAGATCCCGGACGTCACGAGGAGTTCCGGAATGGTCCGGAGGTAAATATTTATATATAGGAAGTCCTGTTTCGGCCATCGGGACAAGTTTCGGGGTCATCGGTATTGTACCGGGACCACCGAAAGGGTCCCGGGGGCCCACCGGGTGGGGCCACCTGCCCCGGGGGGCCACATGGGCTGTAGGGGGTGCGCCTTGGCCTACATGGGCCAAGGGCACCAGCCCCAAGAGGCCCATGCGCAAGGAAACTTGGAGAGGGAAGAGTCCTAAAGGGGGAAGGCACCTCCGAGGTGCCTTGGGGAGGATGGACTCCTCCCCATCCTTAGCCGCACCCCTTCCTTGGAGGAGGGGGCAAGGCTGCGCCCTCCCCCTCTCCCTTGGCCCTATATATAGTGGGGAAAAGGAGGAGCAATCATACCTAAGGCCTTTGGTTGCCTCCCCCTCCCTCCCGTGACACCTCCTCCTCTCCCGTAGGTGCTTGGCGAAGCCCTGCAGGATTGCCACGCTCCTCCACCACCACCACGCCGTTGTGCTGCTGTTGGATGGAGTCTTCCTCAACCTCTCCCTCTCTCCTTGCTGGATCAAGGCGTGGGAGACGTCACCGGGCTGTACGTGTGTTGAACGCGGAGGTGCCGTCCGTTCGGCACTTGATCATCGGTGATCTGAATCACGACGAGTACGACTCCATCAACCCCGTTCACTTGAACGCTTCCGCTTAGCGATCTACAAGGGTATGTAGATGCACTCCTCCTTCTACTCGTTGCTGGTCTCTCCATAGATAGATCTTGGTGATTCGTAGGAAAATTTTGAATTTCTGCTACGTTCCCCAACAGACATATCTTCTAGCATCGAAGCAGGCAAGACAATAGAAACTTAATTGCTATCTTGTGATCTTGTGACTTGGAATTATCTACATTAAATTCAAAATCATCGCAGGCACAATGGAGAAAGGGGGCAAAGATAGTGATTCCGTCAACAAAGCCATCGAAGACCTGTACAACGGTGTATGCAAGCCATGGACACGGAAAGAAATGTAAGTTCATGCAACTAACGCAAAACACATTATTACAAACGATCAATTTGACTATATCATGTGTAAACTAAAACATTTTTCTAAATATACTTTGCAGGGATAAGCTTTTCATTACAATGAACAAGTTTGATGTCAATCTAGGCCATGTTGCCGAAAGCTTCAAGGTCGGTAAATCAATACGCACCGAAGCAATCGAGCCCATGCTAACAATCTTGAGAAAACAACTAAATGGCACAGGGAGAAAGATTATATCGTTAAGCAACACTGTAAGTAAAGATCACGGCAAAAGAATCACGATTAAAACAATATATATGAATTTATATATAGATAAACTTCCCCTATAACTAAACTGACAAATTCCCTTTGTGTATCTGTGACAAAACAAGCAGCACTCGATAAAGGAAGCTGACGACGAAGATCCAATGTGCTACAGAAATAATGATCAAGAACACATTAGAAAAACATTACTACCTGTCAGGCTTACATCATTTTTCAACATGCAAGAAGAAGAAAAACTGCAAGATTATAACATGGTAAGCAGATCAACTTGCGTATATGTTATGCAAAGTTCTCTTTTTATTTTATGTTTCTAAATATAAGAAGATTTCCAAATGTTTTGTTTTTATTTTTTGTTTTGCAGTTTCTTCTACCATGTTCGTTGCACGGGTTTGAGCAAGACGAAACTATAAGTCATTACTTCACCATTACAGTTAACATGCAAAAACAGCGCTTTGAACTCCTTGACTCTTCAACTGCATATCCAGGCACAATAGAATTCTTCAACAATGTAACCAACAAATTAATGAAAATATGGAAGCACGTAAGCATAAAGCTACAGTTTTCACAAAAAAGCATCGACCATTTCAAAAGGGTCAAACTGCAGGTGCCACTTCAAGGAGAAGACACGTAAGCACTTCCAAGATTTCACTTCTTTCTTTATTTTCAATGCAAGATTTACTACTACAATTACTGAAATAATTCTGTTTTTTCGTCTTTTCAATGGAACAATTACCACTACCATTGCTCCAACATTTCTCTTCTTTCCGTTTCTTGAATACAACAATCCTCTACATGCAGAACGGACTGCGCATTCTATATGTACATGAACCTGAAGCACTACTCCAATGATGGAACAGCAGCAACCTTAGAGCCAGAACAAGTACCAGAGTTGAGGAAAAAAATTCTATATCAACTAATTAGTCAACACAAAGGGAATACCAAACTGTCATTAATCAAGTGTACACCAGGTTAGTCTTTTTAAAAACTAAATCTTACAATTTTGTCACACTAGAAGAAGTAATATTCTTTTTTTTATTATTATTTGATTCTAACAGATATGCTGAAGTATGAAGTCAATATGGGAGACAAAGAAATGCAACAGATAGAATGTTGCATTCTAGAAGAGTTTCTGCCAAATCCCGAGCCAAAACAACATATTATGCGTGCGACAACCACAAAAGAGCATGAAGTTATTGATATATCCAGTAAACACAAAGAGGTTATGGATGTCAGCAGCCACGCCGTCGCCCAAAAATCTTGCACAGACCATGAAGAAAAGGATCCACCAATAGAACCAGATCAACCACCACCAGACGACAAGATACCACAGCATGCTGAAGAGGAAACGGACGAGCAAAATATTAACAGCAAAATCCCGAGCACAGAACAACTTGAACAAACAGGAACTGATTTAAAAGAGGATGACAGAAGCAACGACGTACCAAATACACAAGAACAGGTTTTCGAGCAGAAAAAACAACATGTTCTTCTTCAAGAAGAAACAGACTCGACAAGCAATTAGCAAGGCACCTCCAGCACCATCTCTTTAGACTTCCTAAAACACAAAACAAAGAAAAAGCATGAAGAAGTTGATGAATTTATTTTAAGCCTTAACCCGGACCAACTGAAGCAATACGATATGCTTAAACAGATGGGGCAGACATTAGATGAAATCAAAACAGCAATGATTTACCAGGAAGACTTTGAGTTCAATAAAAATGCCATGTCGTATCTGACAAGTTTGCAGGAAGAATCAGGAGAACATTCAATCGGTCAATCATCTAAGAACAGCTCAGACAAGAAAATCTCGGTCAAGAAGAGGCCGGTAAAGCCTTCAAGCAGGCTCCATGGAAAAATCATGATTCCTACTTTTGTCCCATGAGATTTCAAATTTATGAACAAAGCCAGAGCACTTCATGAATACCTATTCAGCAAAGAAGGACAGAAAGAATGCGGAGAGTAAGTACTACAAAATACATATTCAGCAAAGAAGGACAGAAAGAACAGGGAACCGACCGCGCGAACTGATATTTTCTTTGTGTTTTCGCGCGGAAAGGGAAAACGAAAAATTCTGGTAGTTCAAGGGTAAAACTGCAAAATACAGGAAACCACAAACCAAAAAGGGAAAATCGGGAACCAACCGCGCCAACTGGTTTTCCCTCGCGGAAGCGCTCCGCGCGCGACACTTGTCACGCGCGGAGTGCTCCGAAACGAGAGCTCCTAACCGGCGCCTTCAGCATTGGTTGGAGTTTCTGGCGCCCACGCGCCTGCTGGTATGGGCCAGGCCCACGAACACACAGGTAGTAGCGCGAAAAAAGAAAACTCGGACATACATGGCGCTGCACATGGAATCGAACTCGCGATCAATACCTCCAACAAGTGGTTGGCTGACCACTCGAGCTACTACGAATATATGAAACATTGCAGCGCGACGATACATAAGAACAGTAGCTGCGTAGATATTTAAATTATATGAAAACATTTTAGAACAGCGTGATTTCTTTTGACAAAAATGTGTTTTTTTCTCGGAAGTCCACAGATTTTAGAAAAAAACACGAATTAGAAAAAAAATCATCATTTTTCCAAAAAGTTCACAAAAATCTGAAAAGGTTCATCGATTTTTAAAAACTTCCAGAAAATCTGAAAAAAGTTCATTAATTTTGAACAAAAAATCCATCTATTCTCAAAAAGAGCTTATCAATTTTCAAAAAAAGTTCATCAATTCTCAAAAAGAGTTTATCAATTTCAGAAAAGTTCATCGACTGTAAAAAAGTTCACAAAAATCAATTTTGAAAATTACTTCGCAAATTTGAAAAACACTCATCAATTTTGGAAAAGAGTTCGTCGAATTTGAAAAAAACTTCATCGAATTTGAAAAAAGTTCATCGATTTTGGAAAAAAGTTCATCAAATTCGAAAAAACTTCATCGAATTTGAAAAAAGTTCATTGATTTTGGAAAAAAGTTCATCGAATTCAAAAAAAGTTCATCAAATTTTAAAAAAAGTTCATCGAATCTGAAAAAAATTCATCAAGTTTGGAAAAAAAAGTTCATCCAATTCAAAAAATGTTCATTGAATTTGGAACAAAGTTCTTCGATTTTGAAAAATGTTCATCGATTTTGGAAAAGTTCATTAATTTGAAAAATAGTTTATTGAAATGAACAAAAGAAAAAAACACACCGAACAAAACCCTTTCGAATAAACAAGAAAAATGAAAAAAAAAGACATGAGAAGAAAACAGTGAAGAAGATATTTTTGAACACATGAGGTAAGAGTGGTGCGGTGGTTAGCATTTTTGTGCTTTTTAACAGAAAAAAAGGAACGATGGGCTGGCCCAAGAAGACACGTGAAGGAGGGAGAGGTGTGCGCCCGTTTGCGCGGTTGCCTGTAGCGGGCGCAACGGGCGCCGTTTAGGGAATGCCCTCCGGAACCGAGCGCTCCTTAACTTTGATGTGACGGACCAACTCGTCCTGGAGTAGTTTGTTCCAGGGCCGGCCCAGTAGGTAGGCGACGCTCGCTCCAAGTTTGTGGGCTCTTCTTTCGTGTCGCCGGCGCTGCTAGTGCTATTAGTATATACTCCCTCCGTCCATCAGTTCCCCACCAAAAACCTAGGGTTAGGGTTAGGGAGGCGGCGGCTGCTTTTCCCCTATTCCCGATCCCCATCCCCATCCCGCCCGATCGCCATGGCCACCGGAGTCGCGCAAGAGCCGGAGGAGGAGGAGACCGCCATGGACACCGAAGTCGCGCAAGAGCCGGAGGAGGAGACCGCCATGGACACCGGAGCCGTACCAGATCCGGAGGAGGGGACCGTCGTCATCCTCGATTCGGTGATGCTGGATCGCATCGGCCGCACCCACTGCCACAACGGCCTAGGCGCTGCTCGCAAGGCTGTCAAGGGGAACAAGACCGCCGTTCAAGTCGACATGGACAGCGGCCGCTCCTTCTACGTCTCCTTCACCCTCGCGGCTCCTCCACAAGGGGGGGCCTCCTACCTCGATCTCCACTGGACGGAAAGCTCAGCCAAATCCGTGCCCCCCTTCGCGCAGCCCGCCTATCCCTACGTCAGGGCAATCGACAAGGACCTCGTCCTCTTCCACGTCTCCATCCCGAGCCAGACTCGCCACTGCGCCTTCACGACACATCTGTTCGTCTACACCGCCGCCGGTCATTCCCCCTCGGTGCAGCAGCTCCCTCTGTACCATGATGACAGGAGGATAATGCCGTTCCTGGGGGATAAGTCCACCACAGGCATCCTGCGGCGCCAAGAAGGCCGCTACATCGTTGCCGACCTCAACCTCTACGGGAAAGAAAATGCCACAGGCAATTATTACATGTGTGCCGAACTCTGCATCTTCAACTCCAACTCCAGGTCACGGATGTGGAGGCTCTCTATCCAGGATGCCCCAAAGCCGCAGGACCAGAGCAATGGCCAGTTCCCCACCCTCTGGTCAACCGATCATGTGCTCGCTCTTGATGGCCGTTTCATGTGCTGGGTTGACTACTTCAGCGGCGTCCTGCTATCTGACTTCTGTAATATGCGCTTATCTCGGGTGCTCCACTTCGTGCCTTTCCCTGGAGAAGAAGAGTACACTGCAGAGGTACGTGAGGAAAGGTGCTTCGCGCAGAGATTCCGTAGTGTGTCCATCAGCCAAGGCAAGATGCGCTTCGTCCACATTGACAATGACTTGCACACCGAGTTACACACTGGCTGCCAAGGGCAGCGGCCTAGCCAAAAAATCACCATTTGGACTTTGAACATGATGGATGCTAACTCCAGGTTCAAGTGGGAGCCACATCATGTGATCGACCTGGATCGTCTTTGGCTGACACCTAGTGTACCTCGGCGTCTTCCTGAGTATCCAATCATCGCCCCCAATAACCCGGATGTTCTGTACTGCCTGTTAAGGAAGCAGGAATTTCATGGTGAGGCCTCCATGATCATGGTTGACATGAACCCTGCATCTCCGTGGTTGTGTACTCCATATATCAATCGGCGGTCTGTGCATGTGAAAGATCACAAAAGCGAGTTTCCTAATATGCCCCTCCTTCCAACTGTCTTCTTCAAATACCTTGAAAGTTCAACAGGTAAGCTCTCTTAATATTCAAATGATGTCCATTGTACGTTCTTATACATTACGTGACATGCATGATTGCCTTTGCTTAGCTCTCTGTTGGGTAGGGTTATTTATCGTACCTATGATAGCAACACATATGCTGCCTGTGCCTGGTTGGTTGTATTGATTTTGAAAGGTAATTGAACCGTGACTTTGGTGCATGCCTAGTAGCTAGCTAGCGTACACTGTCAACACTCTGCCTGTAGTGCTCTACTGATCAGCGTTGTTTGCCCCATGTTATTCTCTATTATTCTACCCCTGTCTCAATTTTTTTAATTTGCTCCCTTCTGAGCTTGCGTCCCGGACCTCTGGTGGTGCTTTTTTATTGTAATTTATTAATCAACTGAAGCATTTAATATATTGTTACCATGAATCTTCTCTTTATCTGTTCAAGTGTTTGGGGTTTAGCAGCTCTCAGTTGTGTAGGTGCACTACACTGTATACCAGTGGTCCTTCTGCCATCAAGTTGTCCTTGCGAGTCTGGAATCCTCTATTTCTCTTTGTTTAATCGTTTGCTCTTTATGGGACTCCATTATCTAACATGTAGTTCTTGATTCACCGTGCAGCCTTTTCTGTTGCCCACTAATTTGGTGTGCTATTTAAAGTGAAGTCTTCTAGGAACTGCTTGCTCTTGTGTAAAGCATAAAACTGGATGGTCCTCTAATTTCTGCTCCCTCCGTTTCTAAATATAAGCCTTTTTAAAAAGGCTTATATTTAGGAACGGAGGTAATACATCGGAGCAAATCTCTTGTACCTTTTGGAGATAATATATATGAAGCTTCAACACATATTTCTCTGTTGGTAAAACTTTCAGAGTGTGCCTCTTTGGGTCAATGAGGTCACATCTTTTTCTGTTTCTGTCAGAATCCTTTTATTCCAGATAGTGTGTGCTACTTATATCGTGTAACTGGATACTGGGCCAGTTAAAAGCAATCCTCTAGGTAAAACTCCTGTAGTATTAGCCTCTTTGGCCTTCTCATGTGACTTTCTTCATATTGATTCTGGCGACAAGCCGTCCAACTGTTTTGGTCGTCCTCTCATGCCTCATCGGGCATCCTTACACCTGGACTGCTGTCATGTTTCTTGAGTCCACCGCTCTTTGGCTGATTTAAGCCTTCTTGTGCCACCTGAACACACACACAACAATGCCGACCAGTCTGTGGCTGGTCACCACCAGTCCCCTGTGCGCCAGCTGTAGCCCTTCCAGCTAGTTTAACAAGGCCTCCCCAAGCTCCCCCTTCCTCATAAAAATCTTCGATTTCCCCGGCTACCGCCGCGCTCTGCTCCGGCTGCGTAGGAACCGGCGTTAGTGAGCCCGGAGGCGTTGGATCCTGACCATCACCAACAATCTAAAGGTCGATGAGGCCGACGAGCCCCATGGCGACAGGAGATGCAACAAGGTAAACGCCGATGAGCCTAACGACGACAGCAACCTAAAGCTTGTGGATTTGCGAGTGTTGAAGACGGCGACGACAACTCCACTAGGAATACGACCGCGGCGGCTTCTTCTTCGTTGTTTCTCTGGTGGAAGACCCGCGCCTGCGACACCGCGGCAGCAGCGGCGGCTGTCCAGTGGGTCGTCCCTGCTCACTTGGCAGCAGCGGCGGCGGCTACAAATCTTCTCCAGCCTGGGTCATCTCCGTCACCAACGCCTACAGCCTGGGTATGAACCTCTCTTCTCTACTCATCTACTGAATGTACTGAACGTGCGTAGTCTCTGAACTGAATTTTACTGAATGTGTGTATTCTCTGTCTACTGAATTTTAGTGAATGTACTCCTGTAAACTGAATGTACTCTTGTAAAGTGTGCTGTCAACTTGTGAATTTTAGTGGATGTGATTAAAAGTTACTCCACGATGATCCTCCTTGCATGTTGAGCAAGTTACTGGCTTGAGAAACATGGTGGAGGCCATCATTGTTTACTGGCTTCAGAAACATGCCGAGCAAGTTACTGGCTTTAGAAACATCCTGAGCAAGTTACTTGCTTCAGAAACAATGATCCTCTTTTTGAAGTGGAGGCCACCGTTGTTTACCATGTTCTGGGTGTTGGTGGCCTCGCTTCTTCTTACGGCATTTATTTTTTGCCAATTAACTGAGAAAAGGTTTTGATTGCAACGGTATCCATAGTCCATCACTTCTCATGTTGGGCTCCTCTCATTCTTTCCCCCAATTCAGTATTGTTGTGTAGAAATTGATTCAAATTCTTTACATAGCCATTGATCAAGATCCACCAGTAAAATAAGACCCCCCCTTCTATTTGTGTTGCAAATATAACATGTGCGATATTTTTAAATCTGTCCATTTTCTGGTTGTAAACATTAGCTTACAAGAGCCTCTAGATTACTACTAGTAGTCCTACTATTAGTAGGAGTACACAGTTCTGCTAGTTGAAAAGAGCCTCTAGATTATCAACACTTTTGCACTAGTTCTGTTAGTTTAGAGTTTGGGGTATTTTGCACAGTTACAATCTTGCATGCATATGAACAGTAGTACTCCATCATTTTTGGAGTATCATGAACAATTCAACAATTGGGGTCTAATCTAGAGCCACATGAGAGCTGGCTGGGTTAGTTATTTTTCTGACCAATCAACCATGCATGGAAATCTGCTAGATAACCCCCAGTCCACAGCAAAGGAGGAATAAAGTGAAACATGAGGCTGATCAACTAGATAACCCCAAGTGCCATTTAATAGTAAACTAAAGTTCAGTCAGAGTATGCAATAAACTTGCTGGAGTACAAATTTATGCATTACTCCATATTTTCTGAAGTACTGTCATTTTACTCAAAATTTACTCAAATAACTAAAATTAATCCAAAACAAAAAAGGACTGCTATTGGACTAATTTGTTCTCGGTTGCTTTTCATACTACAGTTTTTATAACATAACAACAGTGCTTTTTATTAACAGTAAGTTCATCATGTCAACTGACCGCAAGTTCATCATCTCAAGACTTGCTCAAATTAACTCAACTGGTTCTACAAATTTGCTATCCTATCTACAGTACCTAGCTATTGTCAGAACATAACACTGTATATCTATAGCTTCATTTTAGAAATTTAATTAGTGCATTTCTAAAATGGCCAACATTATGGCACAAATAATTAAGTAAGTTAGCACAAATTGCAAAGTAAGTTAGCACAAATATTCAGCTTTAATCCAAATTATTCAAATTAATCCAAATATTTTAAATTAATTCAAATAACTAAAATTAATCCAAATCAATTCAAATTCCAAATAACCCAAATTCCAATAAATTCCAACAAGGAGTTTATATACAAGGATTAGACAAGGCATACACAAGGGCATGACATAAGGTCCTCTTTGTCCCCTCTTGACACAAGATTACATATGACATAAGGGCATCTTTGTCCCCTCTTGACACAAGATTACACAAGACATACACAAGGAGCACCTGACTACATGACATAAGGGCCTCTTTGCCCCCTCTTGACTACATTCTTTTCCTTTCTCTGGCCACTTCTTCCCTTCCCTTCCCTTTACTTTTCTTCTCCCTTTTTTAGCCAATTCTTTCCTATCATTTTCTTTTCCTATTGCAATTTTCATTTCTTCTATAATGGCCCTAGTATCAACAACTACCCGACTGTCGCAATATACACTGATGATTTCCTCGCCAGCATTCTGAATGCGATCCTTGTGCAAGTGGGGCAACTTATATTGATTTCCTCCTTTGTCTTTCATAACTTCAAACATAACTGCTTCTAATGTGATAAAGCTTCTGTGCAACTTGTCGGGATCGTAGTTCTCGAATTCCTCTTCCACACCCTGTACCAGTTCCTGGATGTTTGTGGGTGACCTGCAGTCGGTTAGAGACTGGAGAGAGGTATGGAAGCAGAGGTCCAAACAATTTAACTCAGGGCTATTTGGGGGCTGTTGTAGCAATCGGATGTCAAGATCAGTTTGTTCCACAGCTTCTCGAAAAGCTACATCATTGGGAAGGACATGGGGCTTTGCATTATCCTGTTGGATGAATATTGTTGCTCCCTCGTCATCGTCAGGCCACTTATCCTGAATTGCCGGGATAACCTTATTGATTAGATAATCTCTGCACACAGGCCTAGTTACCTTCACTGATGTCAACACTTTTGTTTCCTTTGTTCTGTTATGACTTGTCCGCTTCGCCTCAGTCCCTTCAACGAATACCCAAATGCCAATCTTCCCGTCGAATGTTAGCTCCCCCTCATTGTTATATCGAGGCCTGGCAACAGCTGTTAGGAACATCACCTTCCCAATGCTGTGAGTGTTTGACACGATGCGCTTCGGCTCAGGTTCTCCTAGAAGTACATAGTAACTATTCTTCACTCTCGTCATGTCAAACCACTTCTCATCGATGTGAACCATATTCGTCATTGGTTTAAACATAGCCCGAGAAGTTGAGATTGAATTGTCATCGATCATGGACATACAAAATTTCAATCTCGCAAGCTTGTTCTCTAGCTTGAGGTGAGGCTTCACGGTGCTTGTGATGCGGTTGAGCTCATTCAGCTGGAACCTCTTATGTAGGGTCGATCGGGCCACACCTAGAGACCGTGCCAGAGATCGAATTGTCCTTCTTTTATTTAGTGGGATTGTTGAGGTCCTCTTTAGATCCAGCTCCTTTCTCTTTCGGCCAGACCTTCCTGGCTTCTTGCTTGAGACATCTACTTCTTTGCCATCGGCAATTTGCTTTTTGGCTTCTTCCCAGATTCTTTCAACAGATCGTACACTTATGTCCAACAGGTTTGAGACTAGCAGCTTGTCGTCTGGTTGAACAGACCCATCTCTGAGCTCGATTACCAGCAAGGCAAAGTAAACACCGTGCCTCTCCTTATCTGACAATTCTCTTCTTTTCTCTTGAAGTATCCAATTCATAACTTCATCCTCTTCCTCTTGAGCTTCATTCTCTTGAGCTTCATCTTCTTGAGGCATCCAATTCATAGCTTCATCGTCTTCCTCTTGAGGCATCAAGTTCAAATCCATATCTCCATTCTCTGCCACTTGAGGTTCCTCCTCTCCAGGGACCCAATTCAAATTAATGCATTCATCGTCTTCCTCTTGAGGCATCAAGTTCAAATCCATATCTCCATTTTCCGCCACTTGAGGTTCCTCCTCTCCAGGGACCCAATTCAAATTAATGTCTTCATCGTCTTCCTCTTGAGGCATCAAGTTCAAATCCATATTTATGTGTTCCTGCCATCAATGACAAAAGATAAGTACACCATGGTACCATAACAAGAATACACACACACAAAGTGGTAGGAGGAGTACTAATGTCAACACTTCTGCTAGATATGGTCATGAGTAGATAGCTACAGTTTTAACACTGCATTTTAACTGAATTTTCAATAATGACAAGATGCCAGTTTTAACTCAATCAACAACATTTTAACTGAATTAAAAGAATTATTGGACTTTAAATGACAGGACTGACAGAGTTCCTAGGACCTCTATATATGAGCATGGGAGCTTAGATAAGAAATTGATTGAGTGCAAAACAGAGTGTTGTAAATCACTCCTGATTTGATGTGATGTGATGTAGCATAGCATAGCAGTAGAGTAGAGTAGAGAAGCATCTAAGGCAATAGT